TCCTTCTGACTACTGCTGTTCAGCCACCTGCAGCGCTCTCTAGGACGGAAAAAAGTTCGAAACAAAGGATCAGGTCAGAAAGGCACTCGACGACTGCTTCGAGTCCCAGTCCCCGTCGTTTTAGAAGGATGAAATCGACAAGCTGCCTGAGCGCTGGCGTCGAGTAGTGGATGGTGATGGTGCATACCTCTAATCTTCAGGCGGGTTCGCTTTTGAGATATTCACAAAAAAATTCGGGGTTAAAAACATATGCACCAACCTAATACATCCTGAAGAGAAATTCTTGCGCTATCTGATGTATAACTGTTTCATCATTGGTTGATAACCCCCTCCCCCTCTTTTCCCAAGACTTTTTGAAGCATGTCAAAAAAGCAACTTCGGACGATATTTTTCTTCAACTTCAAATTGGGTCAATCCGCAGTCGAGACAGCTCGACAAATTAACCAGGTGTCGGGGTCCAATAGTGTTGGAGAAGGTGCGAAAGTGGTTCAACAAATTTCGTTCTGGAGATTTCAGCCTTGAAGATGAACCTCGTAGCGGTCGACCTAAAGCAATACCTAACTTTGAAGGCGTTTATGGAGGCTGACGCAGCGTTCAGACTTCGCGGCGGCAACGCCTCGGTCGCGGATGCGCATGCTTTCGACTGTATCGATCGCGTCCACAGTGCCACCGAAGCGCTGCCGTTGCGAAGTCTGAACGCTGCCTGATCCATCCCAAACAGTTCTAGAGATTGCAGAAAAGCTAGGCGTTGGCAAATCCACTGTTGGAGATGGTCTGAAACGCATTGGGAAGGTGAAAAAACCCGACAAGGTGCCCCGCAATTTGAGTGACAGGCAGAAATTGGCACGTCTCAAGCTTTCTTCTTCACTGCTTTTGCGTAACAGAAACGACCCGTTTTTGGACCGAATTGTCACCTGTGATGAAAAGTGGATCATGTATGATAACAGGAGACGTTCCGGACAGTGGTTGGTTCGAGGAACCAGCGAGGCAATTTCCAAAGCCTTATCCTCACGAAAAAAATGAATGAAAATGAATGAAAAAATTATGGTCACAGTGTGGTGGTCATCGGCTGGTGTGATCCACTATAACTTTTTGTCACCAGCCAAGCCATCACTGCAGAGTCCTACTGTGAAGAAATTGACGAAATGTACCGAAAAATCGCATCAGCTGCAGCCAGCACTTGTCAACAGAAAGGTCCGATTCTTTTGCATGACAACGCCCGCCCACACTTTTCACAAAATCACTATATATAAATTGAAAAATTGAGGGTTGAAGTTCTACCTCACACGCCATATTCTCCACACCTTTCACCATCCGATTATCACCTTTTCAAACATTTTCAGAACTTCCTTGCTGGAAAATACTTCATCAATCAGGACCAGGCAAAAAAGCCTTCGTGGATTCTCGACCACCGAGTTTTTTCTTTGATGGGTTTATCGACCGGTGTCACATTGGCGAAAGTGTGCTGATTCGAACGGTGCTTATTTCGATTAAATTCGATGAGTATTAAGAAAGTAATGATCGTTTAAAGTGAAACACTCAAAACGCTGAGAACTTCCCGGACAACCTGATAGTAGCCTAATCTGTTCAATTTCTCCATAGCATACTGCGGGACGTGGGGCAGAATATTGGCGCAGAGTAGGGGCGGCTCCCCAGAACTGACACAAAAAACAGCACTTTGAATCGGGGCACCGGAAACTTTCTTCAGTACCTAACATTTGGGAAGGAGTACATCATCTAAAGTCGTACGTCAGTAACTGGGGCGTGAACGTTGACGCAACTAATTCATAAGGTCGCTCAACAAAAGATAGCCAAAAATTCATTGCATAGAGCGGAACAGCTTTCCAAGAAAATTTTGTGGTCACATTCGTGAAGGGGACAGCGGAGAATGTCAACCGTGGTAAGCATCGCCAAATTCTGAGCATTCGAACAGCACAAAAAATCAAAGTGAAACTTCTCTGGTCGTCAGTTAAGTTTCAATGAAATTCAAATAATTAGTGCTGGAATCTATTGCTAGTTGGTGACCGCGTGCTTCTTATCGTGGACCTCATAATTGTTAGAAACGGGTCGTTAGAAGTGCATCATATTTACAGATGAACTTATCCATGGAATTGCTTTTGGCTTCACTCTGAACAGTCAAAAGCGAGAAAGTCAAATGAACGCAGTGGGTCTTCAAAAACACGTTAAAACACAGTGCAGGATTTTCACTGTTGCTGGAGTTTGTACACTGGATTGTTGCAAACTGGGTACGGTCTTGGGGCCACCACTACCGCTGCATACATTCAGTAATGACGTCAGCCCGCAATGCGGGTGACTTCCTCACCCTGTCGAGACATCGATGTTGATGAAGACATATTCGCCAGAAGTGGCCATGCCAAGTTCGTGAGCTGCAAGCATGATCTCGCGTACGGTATCCGGTGAAGCGCATAGTATGATCACTGAAAAAGGCGGCTAATAATCAAATTGTTCCTTATAAAGCGACTGCTTCGAAGAAAATTGCCAATTTCTGGCTTATTGAAAATGAATAGATGGGATGATTCTATGCTTGAATAAAGTTAGTTTTCTTTGAATAGTCATCCGATCACCATTAACAGCAACAACTAATGCGTATTCAAACAAAGTTTGAAGCAGCGAAAGCTACACAAAAGGGCAAAGCTCTCACAATTAATTCGTATTATAAATTCTGTTTCAAACTTCATCAGCTGCCCTCTGTCCCACAGCTGACTCAAATTTCTGTTGATAACACAACGGTGTAGCATGGCACTAACCTTCCTGGGACCCGCCAACCCCAAAAAACACGTAGTATATGGCCATTGCAGCTGTTCTCATTGAAACTGATTTACACCACTTCTCACTTTAGTGTTAGGGGGACGAAGAGAATCTTATGCAAAAAGCCGAAGAGGAGGAAGTATAAACGCAAGGGTACCATTACCAGATAGCAGGTAGTAGAAGCTAACTGACTGCACTTTCCCGTCAAGCGGAGGTCACTCGATACCAGATTACACCAATTCAAGCTGGTCGGCCTAGACTGTCACGCGCGTGACACAGGGAACCCTACAGAGCTTACCACTTCCCCTTCCCCCGCCATCTCCCCTCCCCGTCGACGTTCAGTGAAGGAGTGAGTTTACAGACTGAGCCTGCACAACATAACATTTTGATATTTAGCAGCATAGTGGTAAAATATAAAGAAGATAATATTTTTTTCTCTTCTTATCAACTGATGCCATCAAGTGTCACACGTCACAAATATAGCCATCACTGAACCTTCATCACTGGTAGCGTTGAAAGTTAAACAAACTTGAAGAAGAATAACGGCAGCAAGGCCCCTAATCACCCCCTTTCAAATGTTATACCTTTTGACGCCTACCAGTATCATTTCATCACTTTCGCTTTACGACCACGTGAAGCCTACTTTCAACTATTACTGCGGCGCGCGATATGGATCGGGTGATGACTGAATTCCAGGGTCCCCTACCTGATCCTATCAGCTGCTGGCAATTTCTGTCACCTACCCATATCGATCCCATCCCATATCCTGCATTTCTGTGCCAAGTCTCATTGCTGTCGTTACTGGCCCTATGAATTTGGTGACTCTCCCTTTCTAACGCCCTCTACCTGATCTTACCAAGTGCTGTCACTTCCTGACAATCAGTAAATCTTCTCGGCGTCCCATATGTTATTTCAAACAGACAGGCGCACACATGCACAAATAGCAGATATACAGCTGCGGATAAAAGTTGGAACAAGCCCCAAAATCGCGTTTATAACACTTCTGAAGCTGCTGTTCGACATCAAAACAGTGGAAAGGTAAGCAGATAGGGAGAACTCAACTAGCGGCGCTCTGAATTTGGTTCTCTTATATAGGACCCCTAATGGAGCCTTCATCATCCGCGGAATCGACCCCACAGCAGCTTCGGGGTATCCACGGAATTCTGAATTATCCAAAATGGAGGGAACTGCTCATTCGTGTTGGTGGCCTTCTTTCCTTTGACTCATGGTTCAAGTCACCTGAAAGATGCCTGATGCGGTTGAGGAGAAGACTTTACTCGGTCATCCTATCATCGGGACGCCGCCCTTGGATGTCGGAACCTAGATTTCACGTAGTTCTTGTTTGCTCAGGGTCGTTTTTGCTTATCTGAAAACAGTTCTTATAGCATACTTTATCTATATCCACATTATTTCAGTACATACGCCAGCGAGGGCCACAAGCCAAAACATAATTTGATTAAAAATCCAGATTTTTTTTACTTGTTCCAATTTTTTCCCCCTATGTAAACTACCATGCCATACGGGTACGTCATGTTCTGAAGCTGATCACTTTTGTCCGACGGATACAGCACTGCGAATGATATTTAGTATTATACATCTTTCACACTGGGCTGACGCCGTAGCAGTAAACAAGACAAGAGACATTCAACAGACGTGAGTTTTGTACGTTGTTCCCTATTTCTTCGTTATGCATACGGGAATGCGCAAACAGATTACCAGGAGAACATTGTCGAAACATGAAACTTGGACGACGGAACGAAATCGCTGTAGTAGGAAGGATACTGAGGACAAATCAATCATCCCCTGAGGAACAGCCTGCTATAGTGCTAACTATAAGATCCGCTGATGCAGGAGATGAGAGATACAAAAGAACGATTGAATGCAATATGTAAATCCTTTTTAAATAAGAGAAAAGAGAACATGTGCATCGCCCTGAGACTGAACCGAACGTGTACAACTGCCAATCTCCTTGAAAGTGATTCTCGAGAAGCAAAAAGTATTTTTTTTGGAGTTTGAGGTTTCTATCCAGAAATTCATTCTCTTTCACTTAAAAAGGCTCCCAATATAAAGCGCATTGGTGAGCATTTATGCGTTCAAGAAAATTATGCACCCAAACTAGGAGTTTTTGTAGACCTCGAATAGGAAGCGTTATAATTAGAAAACATATTTCCATATGCAAAACGAATAAGTTCTGCTTCCATGAACTTGGTGAAGGCGAACGGGTAGGACCAAGAAGATTTGAGAGAACTGGATCGAGTGATAGAAATAGCAATGATATTTATAACAAGTTGCGATGTCTGTAGAAAGCAGACAACAGGCGAGCACTGTATAACCCAGTAGTCTTTATACTATTCTGAGTTCAAAAACGAAGCGAAGAAATACAGGAGCACTCAAAAGTAAACGATGAGCGTTGTATCTTAGGCGCTTCACTTGCTCCTTTTTTCGATTTTTCCTTGGATCAGTATGGAAAAAAGTAGTGATTCCGGAAGGATTTAGCTCGGAGCTCTACTAGAGCAACTCTTTCTCCCTTGTTCCCTTCTTTAGGAAGTGACCAGGCTTTTCCAATGTCCATGCATTGAGTTTCTTTTTCTAGTCGAGAACAATTACTCGAATAGTGTGGAAAAGGAAGGGAAGTGAAGCGTTAGTTGGAAAATGTGATTGTAGTGGATGGTAATAGACAGTGAAGGAACTCCACTCAACTAACAGATGTACTGTAGCACAATCGAAACCGCCAAGACCTTATTCGGAGTGATTTTAGGTACTGAACACAAATACAACCCCTGCATGTTGTAAAACTTTGATCAAGAGCGGTTGTTTTTTCGAAAAAAAAAACGACGGACGGTATCGACGAAGATTACCAAAGACTCGTTGAAATTGTGAAAAAACTTGCAGAACGCTGTGGTGACGCGGCCCCGAACCACACAGTCGTCGTATATCGTCCTCTACTCGCGCACTGCTCGAAAAACGAAGGAGCATCGTTCGCCAAGGGAATCACTTGGAGTACACGCTTCTATCCAGGTTGTGCAGACGGCGAATCGCCGAAGACCACGCAAGCTTCGCCCGGTCAAGACTTCTACGTGAAGCGGAGAAAAGAAGAAGCCTCGAGAGAGCTAGGAGGAATATAGCAGAGCACCGCTTGATGATCCAGTATCTCAAAGCCGAAGACGGATCTCGTTGCGCGTCGATAGCAGAGATGGAGCAGATTCTGAAGACGTTCTATACAACCCTCTTCAAACCGGATCTCCCCAATGGAAAGCGTAAAAAAAACCACCGCAAGATCGGAGTTCAATATTGCCCTTCCTCACATCGAAGGTGCGTCATGCAGTTCAAACGATGATACAAGGAAAAGCACCCGGCAAGGATGCAATTACAGCAGAACTGCTACAGGCTTGTGGACATCCGCTTCACCAAGTTCTTGCTAAAAGGTATTCGCGCTACGTGGATGAAAGTGTGGTGCCAACGGCTTGGAAAGAGTAGTCAACCGTGCTGTTGTTTAAGAAAGGCGACAAGGAAGACGTTACGAATTACCGGCCAATCACGCTCCTTCCAATACTCTACAAAGTGTTCACACGTTTTTTTTTGGCGCGTATACGAAGGACGCTAGAAGAAGCACAGCCGGTCGAACAGGCAGGATTCCGTCGGAAGTTCAGCACGCTAGACCACATTGCAACTTGCCGGCGTCTCATAGAAGTAGCTCGAGGGCACCGCATGCCTCTTGTACTCACGTTCGTCGACTACAAGAAAGCGTTCGACTCAGTGGAACCAAAGAAAGTCTGGGAAGCATTAGAGGAGCAAGGAATTGAGGTCTACATAGGCGTGCTCCGAGAATGCTATACCGGTTGTACCACCACGTTACGCCCATTCTTCAACGACGTAGTAGTACCAATTGAGAAAAGTGTGCGGCAAGGTGATCCAATCTCACCCAACCTGTTCTCCGCATGTTTAGAATCCGTTATACGCCGCTGCGATTGGAGCAACTTTGGATGGAACATCGACGGTACTCTCCTGAACCATCTGCGATTCGCTGATGATGTTGTCCTGATTACCGGCACGCCAGAGGAAGCTTCGGAGATGCTAAATCGTCTACACCAGCAAGGAAATTCGTACGGTTCAACGATGAACACCTCAAAAACGAAAGTCATGCGAAATCAGTTCGCTGGAGGTGCAACCGTAATGCTGAAAGGGAACCCAATAGAGGACGTTGAGGAATACGTATACCTCGGCACCAGCTGAACATGAGGAATGATTTAAGTGGAGAGCTAGCGAGGCGCTGCAAGGCTGGATGGACAGCATTCAACTCTATAAAGAGCGTCGTGGAAGATACAACGAGTCGCAAACTCCGTGCGGACCTTTCAATACAACAGTGCTGCCTGCCCTCAGTTACGCGGGAGAAACTTGGGCCCTAACGAAACGCACGAAAGACGGTTAAAAGTTATCCAGGCATCGATTGAGCGTCGCTTAGTAGGCCTGACGTTGAGCCGTCAACGAGAATTAAAACTTCACAACTCAGACGTCAGAGCCATATCGAAGATCAAAGACATTGTACTCCATGTTGACGAAACAAAGCATCGATTAGACGGCAACGTGATGAGGAGAAATGACGGAAGATGGAGTTTCGCGACCATACGATGGTACCCGCGTGACAAGAAGCGACCGCCGGGTCGCCCTCCTCTGCGCTGGGCCGATTCCCTGGCCTATCGCAACAATGTTTATGATCAAATTTCTCTTAAGGTCTATACGCACTGGACAAGCAAGGCTCAAAATAGAGATCAATGGAAAAGAAGTTGGGACTCGCGCAAGGTCAACCGCCGTGCTGAAGAACGGGTCACCTAAGTAACCTAAGTAAGTTTTTTCGAAAAGCCAAGGTAACTTCTTCGCACACTAAATTGGTGATAATAAGCGAACAAATAAATAAATGCAATAATAGCATCTGAAATTCATCACAAAATTTCAAATCTGTCATGCATCATCCAACCTCAGTCACTGGGGGGAGATTATTAAGGTACCTGGGTGAAGATTATTAAGAAACGGATTACTATTAGTGAGAGGGCTCAACAACT